CGAAAACTATGCAAAATGTAAGTGAAATTAGTTGTAATTGTTCAATGAGCTTTTAGAAATATTCAAGGATTAACCATAACAATTTTTATCGAGCGAAAAATCTCCAAAAATAAGAGGTTACTTGACCTTACTTTTTAATAATGAAAAGAAATGTATGACGAATGCTTGATTGTAATTTTACCGAAAAGCGTTATAAAAACATTTATCCTTATAATGCAAGCATAATGAGTGACGTTGAAAGAGGAGCTAGCTGGTGACAAATTCCGAACAAGAAAACTTTAAGGAACATAACAGCGATTCAAGGATCAACCGGTATAACACCAGTCTGGTTGTGCTGGCTGTGATCTAAAAATAAACAAGAAGAAGAATTCGAGATAATTGAGAAGGCTCTTATAAAGAATGGATACTAGAAGAAATTCATCTTGAAGCATGGAAAAGAACTTATTGAGAAACCAAAACGTCCAACTATTGAGAAGAAGCCTGTTTTCCTTCGCCTAGCATTCAAATGTGATGAAACATCTGAAAGAATAGACAGAAGAATAAAAGTTTTACTGAGAGGGAGATTCCCTTCTACCAGACTGATCTCAGTTTACAATACATTGTGATCAATAACAAAGTCGATAGTAAACAAATACCCATCTCACATCACCTCCAACTGTGTATATCAATTCACCTGTGCTTGTGGAAGTAAGTACATAGAACGGACTGAAAGAAGGGTGTCTACTCGATTTTATGAGCACAGTCCTAGAAATCTGTGTCTGAATGGGAGAAAGGTCTTTAAAAGCGCAATCGCCAGGCATCTGACGGAAACATGACATCAAATGGATGTTTCTCAATCTTTCACGATAATCAACAAACAAAGAACACCGTGTTTATTACAGTTTGCGGAAGCTCTCACCATCAAACATTTCCAACCTGACCTACGTACTCAGAAGGAGACTGTAATTAACCTTTCTTTATTTTGGTAAACGTAAATAAGTCTTTGCATATCTATGTCTATAGTCCTCCCCTTTCTTTTGATTGCATCATCTCTTCATTAATTACTTAATGAACACTCATCACTTAACTATTTCCAAGTTCTTCATGTAATTACGTAGCCTAAATGCGCTTAAACAATGAGCAATAATTTGTGCTCCAAACGTCATCAAGTAAATAATACTAGATCACTGTGTTATAAATCAAATAAACAAATCTAATACGGAATTAAATTCTACTACAGTGCCCAAGTTTTACACCTATATTAATAAACAATCCCTTCTTTTACACTGATTTTCGTTTGTTGTCCCCCCACTCCACAGCCTCAGGATCATCCATCTCATCATACATAAACAGTCATAGATTTTGACTAAGATATGTAGCTACTAATTCTGTGTTCTCTTAACTTGTTGTTAATCCCTGAATTTCAAATCCTCGTTTATTTCTGCGTGTTTAAAGTATGTTATTATCACTACTAATAATTCATTTCAGTTGTATGCTGTTTGCAGCAGAGAATAGGCCATGAAATAAAATGAGCGTTTTTTTATTCTGCAAATGCCTTTGTTCTTGCACTTTGCAATTCTTTCAAAGGAACCAAATGCATGACTTCTTAGTATCTTTGTATCTGAATGGTTGTTATGAGTTATAACAGTTGAACTTAATCAAGATTAGTCTTTTAAAGTATATCGACTTTATGTGACTGTGAAATACTAAAATTGCTCAGAAATTAAGATTTCACTAAGTGATGACCTAGAAATCCTTTGGCTACGTTAGTGAGATAAGAAGTGAAGAAAATTCTTGCAAGTTTTCTCCTTTCTTGGATTCTCATCAGAATTAAAATCATTTACTTTACAATCACCTACCCACTACATTACTAAACGCTGAAAACTGGTTAATATTAATTTCACTTTGTGCGAGCAGTCTGCTAATCTCCAGCCTAAGGTTTTTGGAAAACCGAAATATTTCCATTACTGACTCCGAGCAAATAGAAATGAGTGATATTATATCATGGTGTACTTCCTGATCCTTGAATTGATTTTGTGTCTTTTTACTAGTGCAGGATTAGCAATACTTTACTAATCTTTTTGCAGTATATTAATTAATTCTCGGTATTTGTATTCTTGCTGTGGTTAATTTTTAGAGCTCAGTGTCCAAAGAACATATGATTACGGCATATGATCGGTCTGTCCAAACAGTTGATCCTCCATGAGAAGATTGAAATCAGAGTACAGTAAGTTGTTTGCAACAAACACTTTATTAATTTCCGATTGTCTAAGGCGGCAGTTTTATTTATTCCCAATTATGTTTGATATTTTGCTCCACTAGCTGAAAAGTCAACCTGCTTTTTCGTCACCGCCCAGACTTATATGCTGTTATTTGTTACCTGATGATTATATTCGTATGAGGACCAATTCAATAACAAAAATTCTTCCTGACAGTTCCCTTTAAATCAAGTCAGCAGTGAGTCACGCTACTTACTCCTAAACTTATAACTTGTTGTTAAGTTTTCCAACCTCTCTGGAGATCATGAGACATCCTATATCTACGGCATATAAATCCAGTATTTAACGAAGAATAAATTTCAAACGAAGCTAACGTAAGACTGTGATATCATATGAAGTTTGTTCAGAGTGTGCGTATTGCAAAAAATCATTCATAATGCTAGTCCTTTTGATAAGAAACATTTAGTAACTTTTTTAAACTTTAATTTGGTAATTAGAATAGTAATTCTACTGTTTGTTAAAATCTGGTTTTTTAGCGTCTATCAGTTGTTTGCGAAGTGAAATTACAGTAAATAAATGTTTGCCACTTGACAACCTTTAAAGCTATGTGACCAGAGGGAGTGCCATCTGATATCGGCAAACCTTATCTATTTTCGCCGTAGTAATGGAGAAACTGAAATCAGTGGTGACTAGGCACCTAGAGTGAAACTTATTGTTACCAGTAGCACTATTAAAAAAAAACAGTTTTTGCTTACTCTGCTACATGAGTATGAGGATATCTATGCAACAGTATAATTATATGGTGATATACAACAATGGATAACTTAAAATAATGCTATATTAGAATTGCATATTTAATTTACCACTCAAAGATACCGTATTATCAGCTGAATGAAGTTGTAAGCACAGATTTCAGCTGTCAATCATATTGAAGTAAACGCAAAACTTTTGATATTCCGTTGTGTAGTTCTATCACTTCACACTATTTATTTTGAGTATTAGTAAAGACTTCTACATTTCCAGTATACGTATGTTGTCATTCTTATTACATTCGTTGTGTGTTGATTTCATGAACAGTCATTTGGTAATTTGTCAATCCTAACTATATTAGACTTTGTCCAGTTGCATTATCCCAATGTATTGTATGGTTGTGTTTAAGTGCATGCATTACAACAACTGAAATTTTTTTGGGACCATTTATTCTCGTTTGTTCCATTATTATTCCAAATATGACTCAGTTCCAACGCTTCCGTATTCTAAATGACTCCGTTCGATTACATCAACTAACTTACTAACCTCATACTCATTGCTTGGTATTCAGAAGATTTATTTAATACGTTTAATAGGGTCAACAGGTTCCTTAAAGCGACACAGTTCATCCGCAAATGACTTCCTAAGATTGAATACCACCTTAGTTTGGGCCTTGTAGGGTAGTCCATATGAGGTACTTAATGTTCATTCCTTGTACCATCAAACTGTGGAAGCCTTGAAATCCTCTGTTTTTGTTACCACAGCCATTCAAGTTGAAAATACTGATTTCTGTTTTATGGCTTTGTGCACTTCTTATTAACTCCGAGAATTTTGTACTTTGAAAATAATTCCAGTTATAATTCGTAATCACCTTAAAGCTGTAGGTTTAACTAATTTTTGAGAAGAGTGGGATTTTCGAGCTTGACTGTATAAACTATAAACTTCAAAGTGGTTTACGATGCGGCCAAAACCTGTCAACCTTCTTTTTGACTTTCCTTGGACTACGTTTTGTTTTTAGGTGTTTTAATATTCTTCTTTATCGGTAGTAAGTTCATACTGTCATTTTAACTCTCTGAATGAGACAGCCATGGTTTGGCAGACTAGATTTGATATTGGGTGATGATTGAAGGTGAAATGCAAATCTGGGCTACGGCGAAATTCAAACGAGCGAGCAACCGGTTTGCGGCCGTTGGTCTTCCAACTGAGCTATTATACCCGACTGCTGACCAGATTTCTATTTCACTTTAACCACCAAGGGTTTTGTCTGACTGCTATGTAAATTAGTGGTGCCATACCATCGTGCTCTGACTAGGCAGGCATTGTGAGTTTGGTCAACCAATAGTTATGGGTCACGAATTTTCGTGGCAGTCAGGCAAATCCCATGGTGATTGAAGTGAAATAAAAGTCTGGTCATTAGTCTGGTTTCATAGCTCAGTTTGTAGAGTACCAGTCAGGAAACTTGGTGATCACTGTTTCGAATACTGCCATGGTCCAAATTCTCACTCGACCCTCACTCATCACTCAGTTACAGTAAATTTATGGCTAAAACCAAAGTTGATACGGCCTCTCTAAGTTATGAACATCCATCCACTATTCGTCTTGGTCTAAACATAAGTCAAAAAACTCAAATTTCCTTCTGAAGAACACAAAGTTTCCTGAAATTATCGTATTTAAAAGAGAGGATTGTGAAAAACCCATAATACTTATATGCAATGCGAAAGTTGTTTCATGCTTATCAAATTACCAGAATGCTTGTTTATTCATTGATCGATTTTGTTTTTCAAATAACTGCTCATTAATTAAATGATTGTACAATTTACATTTCACCAATTTCGTAACGACGTGAGTGATGAAACTTGAAAAAATATGATTGGTCACTTAACTGGGATAAACCAATCAGTAGCATATTTCTGTGAAAACTATGAACTAGAGGATTAGGAAAACAAAAGAACAAAATTGAAGGGTAGAGATAGCTTTCTATCTGAATTTTGCTAGACTATGTGCACATACATACACCAGAGATAGATAAGAACTAATCCCTGAATGACTTATAAATGAAGGTCATTATACACACTTTTATGAAAACAAATTTAGTGGAGCCGAATTATTTAAACAGATCAAAGTAAATAGAAAGGTGAAAAGCCTAAAACGGGAGTAACAAAGATAATCAAAGATGATCCTAATATGATTACCATTTCTTGTCTTACTATGAACTTAATGATAAGTAACTGTAAAGCAGCTTTCAACTGACTTTTCGTAACAAACATTACTAACCACAATTCTGAACGAAGCTAAATGGAATCCAACTTTTTGGGTTAATCCAGTTCACTTTAACTGCTCAGTATTTTTCAAATTTGTGGTGGAGTGATATTCATCCAACTTATTACAGAGTAAGTCCAAAACTGTTTTACTAAAGTCATTTTGATACTAGTACTAATCAGTTCTGATAAGAAATATGAATGATTTCTAAGTAGTGATTTTCACAGTTCCTGTTCATCCTTTAACAAAATATTCCAAACTATTTCCATCTGTGCTGTTCTGAAGGTAACAATGACGTTCAGACTACTTAAGTATCCAATTAAGTGAAGTAAGGGTGAAACTCATAGTCCCACTACAACAAACACAGTCTAAAGGCCGAAAAACAATTTTGATAATTTTAGATACTAATTTTCCTTCCTTAAAATAAATCAATGTAGGAACATAGGATATTTCAAAAAATAAGTTCACTGGCAATTAACTTGAATGAATTTTTCATTTAACGCAGTAAATAAAAGCCCTTTATGCCATTAAAAACACAGCTGTATAGGTTGACATTCAGTACTGATCAAGGTTTCATTAGTAGTGACTCAAAGATAAAAACGTTGGACCTAATTTCATTTTCCATTGCTACTAATCCCCTTCACAAAACTGTGATCTACTCTCCGTGAACTTCTTGGCGCACCATAAATACAACGAACTTATTTTAAGAGTAAGGATGATGTATGTCACAGATTTCATTAAACTTTATTATAATAGTCTTAAAGTTACTGAACATTAGTTTAAATTTTCTGTACTAGGGCTTAGTACTTCCCCAATAAAACCAGCTGCAAAACATAGAAAACAAACCACTATTCAAATTACTAAGTTTTAGGCTATGCTCCACAGAAAACAACTAATATGATTATTCTTAAATAAAGCTGAAAACATTAGGTTTTCGATTAACAACACATTGTATGACGTTGTGTCATCAAATATTCTTCACTTTAGCATATTAGGGATATCTGTTGACTTAAAACTAGTGAATAGCCTCTATACTCCTTGAAAACGCACAGATGGTTAGGAAATATGCTACATCTATGCACCATCAGTTTTCGTTGTGTTTATCCCTTTAAATATTGTTTTAGCACATCACGCTTCATTGTGAACAGATCCATATTTATAGAGGCATAAACTTAAAATTTTTTCGGTAGAACTACGTATACGAACAAGCTTTTGCTTAAAATTTGCTCACTTTTATTCAACTTCTCACTACTATTTTTGTCTACGTGTGGTACACTTGGTAACTACATTTTAGTTTGTTTATTATATATGTCACTCAGTGGAACATTACTATTGTTTTCTTTCTGGTTCAGTTAATCCAGTTAATAATACTGCTTTTTTGTGTGCTACATCTAATAAACAGACTAAAATGGGAATATCATTGGCCACAGTGCCCATTTTTGCTTCCATATTAATGGTGTACTCAGTGTTTTACTCTCTGATATAGTCAGCTAAGTTTTCTTGCCACTTTTTATACAGTATTTATGCTGATATTAGACCGATCGGCTCAAACTTTAGTATTGAAATGACAAGATCTGAGTGCTTCGCAGACCCCAGTTGTCTAGTAGATAACACTTTGGCGTTTGAAGCAATAGGCACGAGGTTCAGTGTCAGCGGAAACAACATTCACTGGGTTGGGAATACACCCAGCTGACAAGTCCCTAATAGGACGAAACTCTTGCCTTGGATTCCACTGTTAATATAAGGTAGACTGTGACAAAATCTGATACTTTTAAATTCGTGATGCATTCACTCAGTAACTTCTATAGTAAATGAATGCAATGCGTTAAGCTTTAAACGGGCAACCACAAAACATGTTACCGTATTAGGTTGCACAAAAGAAGTGACAGGTGTATGACTGCATCAATGAATCAATAAAAGGAACTCTTCGTTTCTGAAATGTTTGTTTTGGAACATTTTTTAAAAATACAACGATTTTTATTGAAGTAGTGCGTAGGAATGTCACTTGGGTTTTGAAGATAGTACCGTTTTAAAGCTAGATAAGTTTGGCATTCTATACGTTTGTTATTGAGGAATATTTCTGAACGATAATCGGATCTAAAAGTGGTGACCTCTGTCACCTAAACGTTTGAAAATTGTAAGGTCTGCATACTGACGAGAAGACCGAACTCTAATAAGATATAGATATACGCTTACTTATTGAATGACCTTTTTTATTTCTTGTGGTTTTGAAATAGTAGGTTTCAACAACGTTCCTGCAATTATTAAACTAATCCAGAAAGACAAATAACGCAAGTGAAAACGCATTGAGTACTAAATCTTCTTCGCTTGTTCGTATGAATAACCAGCTTTCTTTCTTAAAATAATGTCCTGAGATTTGCTTTGCAGTTCATGTTTGAATTTCCGTATTAAGTCCTTTTGGCATAATTTCAGGTGCATATTTCCATAAGTATGGTTGATTTGCCCATCAGGAGTCATTGGACAGTTAACTACCAATCCAATAAATTGTGAAAGTGTTTAAAATGCGTATTCTTAACAACCGACATCCATTAGCTCTATTGGCATTATCATCATTTTCCATGTGCCACTTCACTTACCTTCCTGACTGCTAAAAGACAACTGTATTACCCGCCTAATTATTCCCATTTGCTTTAAAAAATTTTCAAAATGTCAGTGGAAAATTGAATAAACTGCTTACAGCTTAGCATATGATCCTTCTTTTTGATCGTGATTGTCTTATTTTTGAACTCTAAAAATAATGATATCTTTTAAGTGTTTTCCTGAACATTTGAACTAATGCTAAAGCCCAAAATAATATCGTCAGCTTATGTGCAAACACTTATCAGAACAGTAAATTCACTTGAATTGGGAGTTATACAAGATTTTTAAAGAAGTGGTTTGGTTTATTTCAATGTCAGGTAATTTTCTAAATGTCATCTAAATAAGACTCCTCATTCTTCTTCTTGCGCACATACCTTTATGCAAAAAGTATATAGAAAATAACGTACAGATGTCTCACCCTGAAAATTTGTTTCTCTTACACAGATGCTGTTTACATAGTCTTTTTTAAATTTACCTAACATCTGCGCAAAACGATTACTTGTACTATTATTATTACCAATGTATTTAGCGCCATACGTGTAACACCATATTTTCCTTAAGTTTTGTTCACATGCACAAATATTGTATGTAAGCGTATTACACAAAGTTAGTATGCACTATTAGCAACAGTAAGCTATCTCTACCCGTAAATAGTGTGACGTTTGCAGAACATTTATTTGCCTGATCAATATTGCTAGTAACATGCATTTATCCAAAAAATTGCATTTAAAGGAGATATATATTTACAAGGTACTGAAAATATTTCGCTCTTCTCGAAAACACCATAGTTTACTCAGCCATGTTATTCATTTCTCCAAGTTACTTGTCAAATTTCTCTTCGAATGTCTGTGGAATACTTGTTCGACTGTACACAGACTTATCGATCCACCTAAAAACGTGGCACAGTAGTGATCTTTTGTTTAACTTGATCGGTTATTCAATAGAAAACGGGTAGGACGCGTTAGACTCTCAGCAAATCTGATGAACACTTACAGGATAAAATCGGTTTATTCATTTTTAAGGAACGTTTGCAGAGACAACAACTGACTTAATTTCTTTCCAACCTATTTGTGATCCTCATTTCTAAAGCAAGATTAACCTACCTAAACTAGTTTCTAAGTTTGCTAGTAATCGAAACCTTACAACGACAACGTTGCTAGCGTTGGGATTCACCTATTCTAAAATCTGTCAGTATATCCAGAAAGATTAGTTAACTAGTTTTTTTACTTTTTCAAGAACTAAATTTTGTAAATTGATGTGATGAGTGCAGCATTTTAGAACACCATCCAATTTATGACTGCATATACCGATGGTGAAAATATGCTACTACTGATTCACAGGCAAAACTAGTCCTTAGTGTTAGACTCCAGGAATTGCAGAGGAAAAAATATCTTTACATAGGTTGTTTCATGGTGACTAGCATTAGGCTGTTGTATTTTTAGATAATATCAAGCAGTGGTACTGGCGCTTTGTTGTTATGCATTAACGGGTTCGATCATGATCTGTAGGTTGCAACTTTTCATGTCATTGCCACCTAGATGCTTGATGAGCCAACATTATTTCATTCCGTAATAAAGATCATTTTGTCAGCATAGCCTAGTCCAGACAATATAGTCAGCAGCGTTATAGAATAATCTCAGGAAAAATGTTAGTTTAAACTAAGTTTCATGACTTATAAACATTACTATTAAAGGCCTACTTGGCACTCATGGGTAAAAATTAGTTCATACTAAAATTATTTTATTTTAAGCGGAGGAAAAGAAACACTCCAATCTCTCTAAAAATAATTACATATAGTGATGACTTGAAGAACTAACGATTTGACATCCTGAAATGTCCACTTGATACTTTCTTCATGACACTGTATGCTGAGATTATTTTCATCAAAAGCTCTCGCTAGGAGGTTTGTTTTTTAATCAGCGTGTACACTGAAGAAAAATTAGATTACAAGTTGAATCAGAATCACACATCTGCGTTTGTATTTTCGTTTAATGTCTAATTATGTTACCAAGATGAAAACTGCTTCTCTATTGAAGACTTTTACTAAAATAAAAATTCCCTTCATTGTGTTGTAAAAATGCCAACAATTTCAAATTCATTACTAATTTAACTTTTAAAAGTCTGTTCAGGTATTTAAACTTAGCAAAATGTCAAGGATTAGCAGCAAATAGTCACTGATTAACAAATGGTGCATTTTCACGTTGCTTCTACTTTTGGAAATGAGTGACTCTACTACTAAATGTAAAGAAATAGAGTGATTAAAACCCACCTAATCTTACTTTTTCTCAGCTCCCATTAGAAATTATATTAACTGGACTATTAACTCGAAAACTAGATCATAATAATTCCAAAATGGAACCTGTTCATTCAACGATTTGGTGATTGGAGGCGAGGCAGTGTGTTCAAGCACAAAGATATCCACAAAGCGAGCAACATGGATTTCATCAGACAACAGGACACACTACACTGAAAATCAGATGGACTTCATCTCAATGTGAAGAAAATGGAGACGCAGTCTACTTGACACAAGGCCAAGAAGAGGAGCAGATGTAGGTTCACACCACTCACTATCTAGTACAAGGCACCTGCCTTCAATATCAAGTTGAACGCCTGATGATAGACCACAGTTCAGGTTCAACACTCGGAACAGAAACTGAACTGAAGGACGAAACTACAAAGGAAGCCTTCACGGCAGCCATCAAGACAAAATGAGAGATGTCGAGCAACATCCCTGGAGAAACCTATGTAGATGAACACTGGAACTCTCTGAAAGCTATATGGAAAGAAACCTGCACAGCCGTATTAGGAAGGAAGAATAAAGAAGATAAGGAATGGATCTCAACGGACACATGGAAGCTGATAGAGCAGGGAGGGGAGGATGGTGAAGCAGAAGATAAACTAGTGCAAGGGTGCACAATAAGAGGAGGAACTGAGTACAATATATAAAACACTGGACAAAGAAGTGAAGGAGAGTTCACGGAAAGACAAAAGACACTTCTACGTAACACTGACAAGTGAAGCAGAACAGGCTGCTGGTAGGAGAGATAGAGACCTGACAACATTGTATCAAATAACCAGGTTGCTATCTGTTATGGAAGAGATCAACGCAGACGAAACCAATAAAAGATGATGACGGAAATTTAATTACGAAAGAAGAGAAACAAAGGAAACAATGGTGTGACCACTTCAAGAAGTTCTTGAATCGACCATCACCACCACCACCACCACCACCTGCACTTCGTCCAGAAATACCACCTGCAGCCCAGCCGCTGAACTACAAGCGAACATAAATCCTCCAACAAAAGTGGAAGTCCTGAAAGTCATAAAGCTACTGAAATGCGGAAACGCAGCAGTAGAACCAGATCGCGTCCCCCCAGAAGCACTGAAAACAGACTCAGAGACAACAGCGGACATGCTCACACCACATCACTATTGCAGGTGGTGTGGAAGGAAGGGAAGGTACCTGGCTAGTGATTGGAAGAAGGGCTACCTTGTGAAAATCGCGAAGAACGGAGATCTCAGTGTTTGCAAGAACTGGCATGGAATCACTCCCCTGTCCACCCAGTGCAAGCAAAATATCAAGTTGCATCATGCTGGAGGGGCTAAAGCATGCATTGGATTCAAAACTACGACTGGAACAGGCAGGCTGGATTCAGGAAGTACAACTCATGTGTGGACCAAATTGCAACGCCACTCTACGCATCATCATAGAACAGAGTGTAGAATGGCAGTCAACTCAACTCTACACCTCAACTTCATCCACTTTGAAAAGGCCTTTGACAGCGTCGACCGAGAAATGATTTGGTAGTTGCATCAACACCACGGAATACCACAAACCTTTATCAGCCTCATTCAACAACTATATGAAGACGCCACATGCCAGCCAAGTAATTCACAATGGGAAGCTCGGTGATGCCTTGAAAGTGAAGACAGGAGTGAAACAAGGTTGCCCACTGTCACCTATGATATTCCTGATTGTGGTCGACTGGATGATGCAGCAAACAGTAGGCAGCGAGAAGAGGGGGATACGCTGGACCACGGAACAGAACCTAGAAGATCTGGATTTCGCCGATGACGATTTATGTCTTATGTCTTGTCAGACAAACTCGAAGATGTACAGGCGAAGACTAACAAGTTGGTGGAAGAGGCAGGGTAGCGAAGACGAGACTTTAAGTGAATGTAGGGAAGAGAGAGGTGATGAAGATACCCAACCAACAACCCCAACAACAACAACAACAAACTCCAATCACCATCAACGGGAACAACTTAAAGGAAGTAATCTCCTCCACCTATCTAGGCATCACTGTTTCAACTACAGGTGGCGGCACAGACGAGGATGTCAAATCCAGCCAGCGAGGCAGGATCGGAAATGCAAGACAGACGTTCATGAACCTGAAACCAGTGTGGAGGGAGATCTTCTGCACTCAGCATGTAGAACAAGATGTGGACTTTCAACACCAACGTGAAGTCAGTGCTTGTGTATGGTTCAGAGACTTGGGGTGTTAAGACAGGCATTTCCAACAAACTACAGACATTCATCAACATCTGCGTAAGCTGGCTGGTTACTGAAGATCAGATGGCCAGAAAGAATAAGCAACAAGAAACTCTGACTGGCTGGCTGGCTGGCTGGCTGGCTGGCTGGCTGGCTGGCTGGCTGGCTGGCTGTCTGACAAAGAACCAACCGAGAACCTATCGCTGAACAAATATGCAGTGGGAGGAAGTGGAGATGGATTGGGCATACACTGAGTGGGTCGAGTGGGGACATCACGTGTCAGGCCCTGGAGTGGAACCCCTATGGGAAACGACGAGTTGGGCGTCCGTGGCGAGGGTGGCATGGAGAAGATCCAGTGAGGAAGAAATGAGAGTTTGTGGGCTGTCGTGGATCTAGGTTGAAAAATTTCAGAGAACAGATTGGACTGGAGACGTGCTACTGAAGCCCTATATTCTACTAGGAACCCAAGGGACAAATAATCAATAATAATAATAATGAATAATTAAAGTCATGGAGGTATGTTTATGACGTGCTAACGAAGAATAAATTCCACTTGTGGATGAACAGGAAAGTATGTTAGTACGACTATATATGTTCCTTTCTTAATTTAGGTACTACATGTTTGAGCAACCGTAGTTTTATTCAGTGAACAAATGATTTTCTGAGACAATATTCAGACAGTTACAATACTAGACATGCTGTTTCATAGTGACATACGTATAAGGTGGCTTTGTTTTACATGAAATTGACACATAATATTCATTCACCTGAGACTATAAGATTTTACAGTGACAGAAATTTAATCGATCGGTTTCATCTATATGAGTAAAGTGAAAATCATAGCATCAACATTCTTTTTTCATGACAACGGATTGGCTGCTGATGGTCTATTAACCGGGCACTTTGACAAGCTTCAGATACATATGAAGGGATAATATTCTATGTATATCCTAACAGCCTCTGTGCTGAACTAAGTCATAGACCATGACGTGTGACGTCATTTTTCGCAAACTTAGCAGAAGCAGGAGAATACAGAGATACATCAAACACGTTTATCCAAACCTTTTCAAATTGTAATTTAGCAACTGAATACAGTACAGACTACCAACAGGCAGTACAGAATGTAATACAATATCATATTTGTTCATGACTCTGAAATCTTAGTTGTGCATTTTGCTAGCATTTTAAAATGCATATTTACATCGATTCTTGAACATTTAACCTACTTCATGTCATGCTCCAATCCTTCTCTGGTGTACATAAACATAGCTACGAAAACTGACACCAATTTTCGAATAATAGTTATTCTAAGTATTGCATCCTCTTATACATAAATAGCATAATATATGAAAATTATTTATAAGCATGATACTTTGCGTTTCATGGCGAATGTAGTGGAATCAGGTTTACTTTCAGTCAGAAGACTTAGGCATTCTCCCATAAATACAAAATAATTTCACTGACTACAGATATGTATTTCAATTTGTAGTTCGCACTTCTGGACGATCAAAAATAAGATTTAATTAAGGATATAGGCACTGTTTTTACGTGCCAATACTCAGTGCTCACTCACCAACTGCAGAAACTAGAAGAAAACCAGTTTTTTAAAGTGTTCAACGCCAAAAACTATCCGGTCAACATACCTGCCAACAGAACAAATATGAGGACAAGTATCTCAAACTATCAATCGGATCACTCAACTATATATCACAGGTGTCTTGTAAACTGTCAACTAGTTGCTCCACACATTCCGCATAACCAAGGCACACAAATCAACCAGGTGCCAGCAGAGCGCCTTATGTAAACTTAAGGATCCATGATTCAAAAAAACAAGACGAACATAGTGTAACACATTTGTTGCAAAGACTGCCAGCACCATTATGTTGCCCATTCTGGTCATCGAGTAGGCCAAATAATCTAGTCAGACAATATGTATCATCACTGCTTTCGACGCATGCAGCTGAGCACAACCATATCTTCTATCAGGAAAATGTGGAAGTCGTCTGAAAACTGTAGGAGAAATCCTGGCGGCATGAGACTCCAGTCAAGTAACAATCCTCAGACATGTGAACATTGACGATACATGAACTAATAAAAAGGAATATAGAGGATCAATAGTTATTAGTTAAGTCAAAAACTTAGGTTAAGTGGTGACAACAGTTATAAAGATTAACCTCTGATAAAACAGAAGGAAATGTCACCCCTACCAACAAGCCAATCACCAGCAAGACTGTAAAATATCCCTTATAGATATTCATACAACTTGAAAATGTTTCACCTCTTTATTAAGTAAGTGCTGAAGAGCTGTTCAAGCACAGAAGTCAAAGCTCAAAAAACACTAAGCGGTTATAATCTTCTTTACTATCTCGAAAATCAGAAGAACCACAAACCAGCTGTCTCTTCTTTCGGACAAAATACTTCACAGCTTCAACAAAAGCCTACATCTTCTTGACTGGTAGTCATTTGAGGAGGTTCTCAAAATTATTGCTGTATATGAATGCAAAAACAATCAAAATCACTCAACTCTGAGTGTTCTTTCAACGTGTGAAAAATGCTATTCATAGTTGTTCGTAAATTCAACATCTGCATATTCTTAATCATATATTACTGGAATCGTGATTCACTGTAGAATATAAGGGTAAGTAGGTATATGAATGTGCATCAGTAAATACTCACCGTGCCAGTAGCTGAATGGTCACCTAAGGATAGACTTATATTTCTCACAAGTACAGCGATGGTTTGATTTCACTTCATCTCAGTAACAAGACGCTCTTATATAAAAGTTTTCTTAAGTATTTCTTTTATTTTCTTGTCGGACGATCTCATCAGTACTAACTTCAGTATGAAGTGAGCTGTCAATATCTCTCCGTGAGTGGTTTAGTAGCCTACCTTGACGAACTGGTTTGTAATGGGTTGTTTCCTTTGATTGTCGTGTGATTGACTACAGATTTTCCTGTTGGCTGTTCTTTTGCTTGACCTCTGACCTTTCTGTCGTTTATCGTTTTCCTCATTGGCTGATAAACTGGGTCTATGTCTGAACGTCTATTGATTGCTGACTGACCTGAATGCCAAGCCTCTAGGAATTTTCCAATATTCTCGATGTTTTCTCTTTCCAGAGAGATACTAACAGCTCACTTCATATTTAAATGAGTGCTGATGATGTCGTCTAGAAAGACGATGAAAGCTCCACGACTAGACAAGATAGAACCCTCGCTTTTTGATTCCGCACACTTTATCTAAAGTGTTAACAACTAGAGTACTTCAAAAACCTTATATTTCTATGGCATTTTAACGACACGAAAATATTCGACTGTACTCATCGAAATGTTCACACTACCAATGGGAATAATAATTAGTCCTTCAAATGACAACTTACTTTAAAATTATTTAAACAGGTGATGAATGAAACAATAAATTTACGCCGTAATGTTTAAATTGTAACTATTTATTAATGTATATTTGTGGTGAATCTCTTATTCTGATAGTTTGATACTGTGATGGAGATACCTTCAATAAATCTCTAAACACTTATCTATGTAAACCACTATGTCCTTAACTAAAACATCTGCCAGTTTTATATGGCACATTTACTCATATTTGGAAGGGTACCTAGTCGCGAGTACTGTACTTGACTTGAAACAAAAAAGTTACAGTAGCAAATCCTGAAACAAGTAAGTGTAATTTCTTAAATGAGCTAACAAAAATAGTTAAATTACACGTTCAGTTTCAAATTACTATTCCGAAATGCTCAGACTGATATGACAAAACCTCACTCCATGGAAAAAAATTTTCCTACCAGGTAGACCCTAATACCAACAATGTTTTTTTGACACAGTACTCATAAACTTTAAAATCGATTGCAAATCCTTTCATTTATACCGTACTGCGTGGAAAATAGCTGTAGACCATTTCAGCCAAACTCACTTTGGCAATTTGGATCCGAAACCTATGAAGATAGCAGGAGCTAAATTATTGTAAACCACATATATATCTTATTCACTAGCAAAAGTTTCTAGAAGGACGGTGAATTCACTTACTGTCTATCTTACAACATTCACAATAAGTAAGTGAACTTTGTTTTGGCGGGTGAATCAGTACAAATAATCACACAGATACCACACATACTTTTTAAAAAGAAGCAATTCTAGTGCAGACTTATTAAGTGATATATCTAAATAATACAAGTATCACTAAATTCGAGTAGCTTAATGAACATTATATAAAGGTGAAATGGACTCATTAATGGACAATTTCAATTTACGGTGAAATCCAAATGGATTTCCATTAGTTACGAAACTCAGATATGGATCAATATTTTCAACGAAGCCATATACGCAATGATTTGTTGTAAAGTAGCATAAAATATTTTGAGTTTTCTCAGTTTATCGCGCTCCCTGCAAACAAATGAAATAATTAATGAAAGACTTCTAAAACTCAACAGTATATATATATATATATATATATATATATATATATATATGCGTATATGTATATATTTATATATACAGCTTCTCAACTTCACTAATCACCAACTTACTTTCTTACTTTCTTACTCTCTTTTTTTATCAATGCATGCATACGTTTTTCCTGCCCATCCGTAGACTTTTCGTTCCTGTTTGACAAAATCCGTAGTGTTGATTTAAATGAATAAATTAGGAAAGAAGAAATGAGATGACTTCGGGTGGGATAAAAACAGATGAAGGTGAAATTAATGACGCATGAAAATTATGAGGTCTGTATTGAATATCAATAACACTGTAGAAATAAATGAAAATACAAGTTGAAAGTAAAATTCTTAACGAGTATTTTATGAAAATGAAATGAGTATCTCTAAAACTTAAGGAAAGGACGTGATTTATGCTTGACTGTAGAAATTATCAGATGATTATGACTTGGTTTGTGCCTTGATATACATATATATATATATATATATATATATATATATATATATATATAAATGATTGATTTAGTGCGACCATCATTTTCGTAAACAATTAATTGAACGATGAAATATTTCTTTTCAGCCAGCCACTCATCGTTGGGTCAGTATTGTTACATAGTTTTTTAATAAAAAATCAGTATGGTGATGGTTGCT